AGGAACTAGTAGAATTACTTCTGAAGCCTATCTGCTCAGTAGTATCCCCCGACGCTCGTTCAATGTTGCACCATGTTTGACGCAGCAAAGGGAAACATTCCGATGAACGTTTTCCAGCATCTTGGTGGTACAGCACCGATATGAACTCTGGCCAATTGATTAGTCAACCTTATCATGGTATGGGTGTCTTCAGCGCCCGGGAAACACAACTCGGTCGTGGCTTCGGTGCAACGCAGAGACAGCCCAGCCCGTTGGAACGGTTCGTTGCTGACTTGTTGTAGGCGTGCTAAACTAAGCAAGCAAAGCGGACAGCAGACGGTGAGGAACGAAGTACTTTCCTTAGCACTAATCGATGGGCAGCTCGATATGATTAGTGTTCGCTGGAAACTCCCTTACGGCTGCATCCACATAAAAAACCCAAGCCTTATAATGTAGAAGCGAAATAGTGCGATATCGCGACTACTATTATAGTCTATCTCTTCATTATATGGCTAGACGATAGTATCACGAAACAGTGGTAGAGACTTCGGCGATAATTTTATAGTGAAGTTGGTTGCTCTCCATGCACACTGCACTGGAGCTCGCGCCTTTCTGCCGATAGATTAGACTTGGCACTTGCCTGGTTCGTGACTGCCATCCTGAGCACACAAGAAGTCCATCGAGCCTTCGACACAGTGTTTCGGGGAGTTTACCCCTCAGATCATCCGTTGAGCTTGAGTAGGCCAAGGAAGATTGTGCCTGAAGAGAACCACTTATACTAAGTTATAGTGCCCTCCAGGCCAAACCATCACCAGGGATACGCACTTACAGTCGGCAGCAAAGCGCCAACTCCAGTATGAGGAACAACCACTTTTTCTATCACATGTATTATCTTTCCACTTTTCACCCTCCATACAAATTTGAAAATGTTTTCAGGTGAATCTCTGGAGAATCGCCTTCTCTAGCTTCCTATAGCTTTATTTTTACTTTTGGACAAAATTTGAAAACGTTTTATGAAAGGTTCGTGTTATTTTTCACGGACCTTTCATAAAACTTTTTCAAATTTTGTCCAAAAGTAAAAATATAAATAGAGTATAGGAGGCTAGAGAAGGCTCTTCTCCAGAGATTCACCAGAAAACATTTTCAAATTTCATCTCCACCCTGCCGATAAACTCAGAAATGCAGTCAAAATGTGATCAAAATGACCCCTAAAAAGTTGTGCCGCCCCAGCCACCTTATAAGAGTAACTCTCCACCACTGTAACCAGATACTATATACAGTCAGAAAGTGCAACAACTAGGCACAAAACTGTGCCTTGTTGTTGCACTTTCTGACTGTATAATTATAGTATCTGGTTGCAGTGGTGGAGAGTTACTCTGAACTCGTTTCCATATGTCCTTTTCCTTTCTACATTTATTATTGGCTCAATACCCAAATTTACAATACTAATAATTATTATTACAGTCTAGAGTTACGGAGCTCTGCGGGTTGAACCCCCCCCCCCCCCCAGCACTACATTGTACCCCCCACTGAGTCCAGTCAACTAGTCACCAATGTACACCTACATTAATTAATTGTCCACGTAACGGTGGATGTTCTGTTGATGCTGACCAGACACGAACCTCTTGAAATAATTGATTGCCGTGAATTGAACTCTGCATCTGGTACGTGCGACCAGAGTCACAATAAACAATCCACGCCGAGCATACATGTACATGTAAAAAAAAAGGTCAAGTAATAGCCGGATTCCCGGCCGCATCACCTGACCAGAAACACATCAAGCAAAGACGTTCGCATGCACACCCCGAAAACAACACAGCATGGCACCTTCTGTTGACATAGTTCCCTGTGCACGAACCTGGACACCCGTTGAGTCTATGTGTTCTTGTCAATACCAAGAGTACACTGGGGAGGGAGGGGGTTTGGGCCCCGTTTGTCTCGCCTTTGAGAAAAAAAAATCGAACTCTATCTATGGACGGGCACTGTTCGAACATGTAGTTTATGACCAACAGGTAAGTATTGTCCTGCTCTGGGATCACTCTCACATACACTGTGCACGCCACGTGTTCTCCTCAAATACCGTCACGGCATACCGTAGATCTACGTACAGTCAGACAGTGTACTGATCCATGCTGCTGGTGGTATACATGTACATGTAGCCATTGCATGCAGCACACCTGACTGCAAGCACGTACAGAAAGGTGTCCAGAGATACATGTTTCCATTTATGCAGCACTGGATGACAATAGTGTGCAGGACACAATGGACAATGCAATAAATTACTCTAATTTCAGAAATTTTAGGTGCTCAATATTTTCGGTATGAGGGCAAAAGGCCAGGTTAGGTCAACGGAAGTTTTAGGTATAGAGAAGCAGTTCCCTATTGGATTATGTGCGTTAGTGTTTGTTCGGTGCACTGAAATTTTAGGTATGAAACAGATGCACCGAAAGTGCCGAAAATAAAAGGACACCGAAAATTTGTGAAATTACAGTAATTGACAAGTTTACCACACAGCATTCTGTATGGTCACACCTGCACCTGTAACCCGTGCATTTACCTGCGTAAATGTACAATATACAGGACAGTACACGTGTGACCAGAGATGAAGATCAAAGAAGCGGATGTCACTATCAAATAATATACTATAGAACTGGTTGTTTTCTTACCTTAAAACATAACACGGGAGTCGTTTGCTTTTACTGTTCAAGTAGCACTAGCAGGGTCCGAAATGTCTTTCCGGCCATACATGTACTTTACAGTGCACACATACATGTACATGTACATACACACCTCTCTACATGACATTGCATGGAGCATGTTGACAGATGCATGTACATGTATACACAGGGCCCAAGGCTAACGTATAGTGTTCTTACTCGCTCAGTTCAACTAATTCTTTTCCGATTCAGTGCACTGCCTATCAACTGGTTAGCTTAGTGGTTGGCTGATTGAGCAGTCAACGTCTACTTATTCAAAGTTATTGTACTGAGGCGTGCATGCAGGTCAAGTCTGAATAGACACTGGGGTAAGAGACATGATGGTCATGTCAAAACAAAAAGCCTGCGACCTGTCAGTGTTGCATACTCAGGAGGACGGTGCCTCCCTCCCTGCCCATCCCGAAAACTAGGGCCATGAATGTACTCCATTTCATTGTCAGTATTTCATTGAAATGACACAATTCATAGTTTGCGCTGCGCCCTGATAAGCTCACGGAGCTGACTGCCTGTGCTGCAGCTTCTTCCACATGAAGTGAATACAAAAAGAAGACACTATTGCGGGCAATACTCCTTACAACAGTTCGGTGTCTGGATGCAGCCTGTGCCAGGGAACTAGCTTTATGACAGTTGGGTGCACACCTGTGTGGCTGCAGGTGAAGATCAAATAACCCGAAAAATGTGCCAAAAACCAAAAATCTGGTTCGGATATTGCAAAATATTTTTATATCTCCCACAATTGCATTGAAATAATGAGACGAATATCCGTACATTCACTTGTACATCATAGCAATTCTGATAACTCAGTAACTGTCACAGTATCACCTTATCCTGCTCTACATTCATTAGACACGCTTGCCATTGTCCAGCTACTTGTAGCTGCAGATATCATTGTTTTGAACAGACTGCATACATGTGTATTTCCTATCAAGCACATCTGGTGATGCGACGTTTGTCACACTTATCTACGCGTGTGTGTTTGTTCCTGGGTAACAGCTGGACAGCAGGTTGAAGTATGAGTAGGCTACTACTTGGTGTCGTGATGGTTGTGCACCAGGAGCAGAGTTTGAACAACAGATGCTCTTGAAACTACATTATACTCTAAAATACAGATGCCTAAAATTTAATGACATTATGATTCAAGTTACGTGTAGACCTATCATGGTGTACGGGAAACCAAACTAACTAATACTAGTAATACTTACAACAGCGTGCAGCACAATCGCGTTACGTCCCCCCCCCCCCCCCCCCACCGCACACAAGCTGGAGACAAATAAGTTAGTTAGCGGTTTCCAAGCAAAGCAGGAGCGCAGACATCACTCCAACTAACCTTACGAGTGACTTAGTCACTGAGTTGACATGAGGCTGGATAGACTAGTGGAAACATGTGTCCTACATGGCCTCCTGTCAATGTCATTCATTTTAGAATCGACGGTCACGGCCGTTGGCAATGGCATGCGAGCGAAGGACGTGAGCGCCCGGCCGGTAGCCGTCTTGCTGCTGTCAAGCGTCACATTGCAAGCCCAGTACCCAGCGGGCACATTCCCTCCGCCTCAGGCAGAATCAGTCTGGACCGAAGGCGCAGTCCGCCTACATAGTAGTCGGCGACACAAGTCAAAACATCCTCCTGTTCTGAAAATAATTATTATGCTGAGGTAGTGAGGACTCCGAGGAGTACTGTGACTAGGAACTCAGCCACTGACATGGTGATTGTACTCTCAGAATCTGTCTCTGAGGCGCTCACGACCTGCACAGAGTGTCCTCACAGATGCTGCAGTTTTTTTCTTCGCCAAAGATGATCCCGATGCCATCCAGGGCCGCGGTTCACAACAAACTAAGTTACTTGAGCTGGACGGCGAAAACTGGCCAAAAGCTGTCGCCTGCACGAATCCAGCCACGCACCACGTAGATTCTACGTGTCCTCCTAAATTATTTTGCAAAACAAAGACTCAAACTCAAAGTCAAAGACGATGCTACAATGTACTACTACTAGTACATGTACTAGCAGACTACAGACAGTGGGTCATGGACTCATGGATCATTTGTATGCATTCGCGCCGCCCTTTTTTTATTTCTCCCTAGGCCTAGGCTAGGCTAGGCACTACAGCATAATCTACACAGTCCGCTGACGTGAGTGACATCTAAACGATCTACCGGTCCTTGCATGCATGCATACAGGATGCAGACCTTCCTGCCAGCCGTAGCAAAATGCATAGATTAGTACAGACTACAGTATCACTTGTCTTAGCAAAAATAATAGCATATCAGGGTCTGACCGACGAGCTAGGCATGACTCTGGTGCCTGGTGGAGTACCATTATTATGACAATGATTGTATGACATACCATAAATGACGGCGCGCGCCCGTGATGCTGATAGCCGAGATCTTGAGAGCAGATTCACCATGTTCACGACTGCTACATATTATGTATGCCACTTCGACATTTGTTTGCACGAGTGATTTTCCCGAGTGGAAGGCAAGGCGCTAGGCGTGCACTCGCAGTCATTTCAGGCGAAAAGTATAAACTCCTCGCGTGGAGCTGGTGCAGTGGTGGCATGTCCCGCAATCTCATCATGGCTGTACTCCACAGCGAGTTTGGGAAGTCCATCAGCAAATCGGACAAGTAGGACGGGTCGGCAAGTGCTGTAGTACTAGTAGTACAGCCTACAGGGCACCACCACCTAGTCCTTGGACTTCGTGCTTGGCCAGAAAACAGAGCAGCAACGCCACCGGTACGGCGGTGGCGTCCTCGGAACTTAGGACCTCGTCGCTTCCAGTCTCTCTCCTACTGCTACTACTAGGACTAGTAGGAGAGAGTCCTAGCCATCCTGCGCGTTCTTATGCTGCACGGTTCCCAACCATCCCACCCTGGCTGGCGCTACAAGGCGGAATGGATACATCGAGTGGACAGCGGGGACGTGCTCTTTTCATCCTCGCTCACAGATTGCAATCGAGTTTATCCTCGCTAGCGAACTGGGTGACGACGACTTCGGCGTAGCTGTCGCTGCTCGCTAACAGCAAGAATGGTCTGGATTATCCCGTGGCGGAGGCGGCGTGAGCGTGGTGGCCGTGGACATTTGGTGAGAGGTGGCACACCGCCTGGGCACACAGGACATGCGGGTAGTGTCACGCTGCTTATTTGGAGCGTGTTCGGTGTTGTTCTAATGTATTCGGCTGGACAATGCAGCGGTCAGTGTCAGCAACAGCAACTTGCAGCTGACGATGGCGAGCTGGTGTATAGGAGCGGCTGTCCACATGGACCGGGGAAATGTAACGAGTCGAACACGATCTTGCTCGGCGGCCTGTTTCAAGTGCGAAAGGACTACATAGCAAGCTCAGAGCGCTGTACTGGAGAAGTGCAGGATAAAGGTTACCAGCGCATGATGGCTATGGTGTATGCAATACAAGAGCTGAACAAACACAGTGAAGATGTATTACCGCCCGGGGTGAAGCTGGCATTTGAGATGCGCGACACATGCAAGAGCCAGCGCTACACCAGCGAGCAGGTGGTGAAGTTTCTGCAGCGCGGAACGGAGCGCTGCACCAGCGATGGCAGGGTGGAGACGTCGGGCGGCGATATGTCCACATTCCCGGTTAGCGGCATAGTTGGCGCGTCGTCGACGGACCAATCGGTGGCCACTGCCGACTTGGCCGAGCTATTCCATCTACCAGTGATAAGCTATGCCAGCTCTGGCGAGAGTCTGAGCAACGAGCGCTACAAGTTCTTCTTCCGAGTTCTGCCGTCGGACGGCTTTCAGGCGAGGGTGGTGGCAGATCTTCTTACCAACATGGAAACTCGCTTCTTCAATCTGATGCATTCTTTCGGGAACTACGGCGAGGATGGCGCCAAGTCTGTTCAGGACCTGATGGAGAAATCCGGCTGGTGTATAGCGGGGAGGTATAGCTTGCCGCAGGATGTTACCGTTGAGGCCGACATACAGCGGGAAGTTATGTCGTTTCTGAATTCTTACGCGGAGAAGTACAAGAGCAATGCGCTGGTGACGGTGGCGTTTGCGTCGGAGGAGAGCATGGAGGCCGTGTTCGAGCAGCTGCGCACGCAGAACGTAACGCTGCCAAAGAACTTCACGTGGATCGCCACGGACTCGTGGGCCGAGTCGAAGGTTATCAAGAACCAGCAGAATCTGCCCTGGTCACAGGGCACCCTTAGTATTGTGCCTACGTCAAAGAAGGTGCCAGCGTTTGACGATTTCTTCTGCGGTCCGTCCGCAATGGACTGTGGCAATCCATGGTTGAAGGGCTATCGTGATGACTTTGTGTTCAAGGGCAACACTTCCGTAGACGACTCTCACCCGCTGCCCTGCAACAAGACAGCATACCCGGGTTTTGGCTACAACTTCAACGCCAACTCCAAAGTGCCGTTCGTGATGGATGCTGTGTACGCGTTTGCTCACGCCGTTAAGGGTTTGGTTCAGGATAAATGCTCCACCAACACCTTGGTGTGCCCAGAGATCCTGCAGGACAAGGCCAATGTACGTCGGAATGCCATCGACGGAGAGATGTTAAGATCAACCCTGACCAGCTTGAACTTCAAGGGGAAGTCCATTGAAAGAATCAGTTTTAATGAGAATGGCGATCTGAAATCGGCATCGTATGAAATCAAGAACCTGGTGAACTACGAAGGCAGCGGTGAACAACTTCGGTAAGCTTGCACGTACTGGTTGGTGTTAGGTGTATGCCGGTGCGTTGGTGTTCCACAATTGAATCTGGGATGGGTTTATTTTTTAGTCGCATTTCCCTTGTTTTAACTACTGGCAGCATGTTCATGGGCCACGGTGCATCATTATATACCAGGCTCCTGGCAGCTACCTACAGTCAACTTCGCTAGCAATAAGGACTGCGGATATAACGACAATTTGCGAATAACGACAGAATTTCCATGCCCAGAGCAAAGTCCCATCCAACTGTGACACATATACAGTAAAGAGACTTCGGGTATAACGACACTTTTCTGATGCCTCCCGAGTGTCGTTATACGCAAAGTAACTGTACACCTGGGTTGCTTCAGAAGTGCAACACTTGTGACATCACATCACAGTGCATGTTGCCTGGTGCATGCCTGGAATTCCATTCGCCTGCAACGTCTAAATCCTGCCGAATATGGATGGTTCTTCTTCGGTGTTTCCGCTCCACATCCGGGTGAAATAATCATAGCACACGGCTATCAAAATTTAATGTGGTATATTTAGTATTTACTGGAGCAGGGTACACACTATGGATTACATGCATATCTTTTTGTTTACTAACTAATTAGATACCGGTATACATGTAACTCATGAGATTTAGTCAAATAAATTATTCGACTAACAAAAATCTCATGGCATTTGCAGAGCAGCATTATTATGGAGGGGGGGGGGGGGGGGTGGTGGTGAGTGAGACAGGCAGCCATGCGGCCGACTTAGCAGATGGAAAAAAAGGGCAGAGAGATGGTTTCAGTGTTCCTCTAACATCTTTGAGAGTATTGGGGAGGTACAGCTTGGAGCACGGACGTTGTTGATACACTGGTCCAGGCTCAACGTGCATGGCAGGTGTGTACCGCAGTATACAGTCCCGACTCAATAGTTGTTCGTTCTGTCAACCGTCAACTTCTGTGTTCTAATCGTATCTTCGTCCTCCCTGCAACTTTGTTATCTTTCTTATTATTAATTTTTGTCTCGAGCAAGGTTTGGGTTCTTTGTAGAAAGTAGATAAATATAGGGCGCGTTCGAATTGTCTTCATCAACTGTTCAAACAAATTTTATAAAGAGATTAGTTGAAGTGTCCCATTAGAACGATTTCTATCACTTGAGAGTTTTTCAGTGGAATTGTCATGGCTATGATGACTTCTGATCAGATCGACCATCTCCACGTACTATTCCCAACTCTTCGAAACTAATCCACCTTCCAATCGCAGAGTTTCAAGGAGCTTCGAGGAGCTTCGTTTTTCTGAAGAGACCAATAAGGTCACCTCTTCAGAAAAACGAAACTCCTTGAAAAGTCAGAGTGACAATTCGAACGCGCCCTTAATAGAATAGATACCAGTACTCTGAGATTGAAAAAAAGGAAGACTTTGGATGGTCCAGGTTTCGGTCCGATATGAGTTGTGTACTGTTCTGTATCGCACTGCCGCCAATATGCACACTGCAGTGTTTCATAGCAAGCGATGTTCGCATTTGCTGTCATGTAATTGGGCTTATAACCCATTTGTACTTGCGAGATCAAAATACAGTAGACTCGTGCGCCCAAGAACGCGGCTTCAGAGGGCCAGCCTAGCAAAGTTCTTATTTTTCAGCGCCCCATGCTACGTTCTTATTTAGCGTTCTTAAGCGCTACATGTACCGGTTGTACACTTTACATGCACGTGTAGTATGTACTTCGAAGTAGCGCTGCACTGGGTGATGTTTTCGCGAGGACCCGACAAGAGTTTGTGGTTGCGGACTTGTTTTTCGTGTAAAAATGTCGCGTTCTTAAAAATCTTGGAGTTCGTTCTTAAATCCAGGCTGGGGCGTTCTTAGATTTCCAGCCTGGACGTTCTTGGGCGTACGAGTCTACTGTACAGAATTCTGTACAACACAGAACGATGCATTTTGGATGGTCAAGATGCATTGGGCTGTTGTGCCCACGCACAGCTCTGCAGTTCTGGCCAATGCTGTGAACAGTGACAGCAAAGTAGTACTCTCTCTCCACCGGGACAGGGTACGACTGACCTTTACCTTCTCTTTTGCATGTACGTGCACGTGTGTGTACGTGTGTACGTATATGTATGCGCATGTGTGTTTGTGTGCATGCACAGAGACGTCGGCAGTTGGATTCAAAACGCAACGACCGGCGGTGCCCTGATGGTGAATTACTCTGCCGTCACGTGGCACAGCAGAGAGATGGGCCTGGAACACATTCCTCGCTCGCAATGCACTGCTCTGTGTCAGAACGGGTATCAACAGCAGGTGGTTACTACTTACGATCACTGCTGCTGGAGCTGTGAGAAGTGTAGCAGAGATCAGTTCACCAATCTTACACGGCACGTGCAGACTTGTCAGACGTGCGGTCCGTCGCAGACGCCCAACGACACGCGAGACGGTTGTCGGCAGCAGCTGTTCAAGCATGCACACCTGTCCGATCCCTTCATCGGCGTTTGCTTCGTGGTTGCGCTGCTGCTGCTGTTCGCCCTTGCCTGGGTGGCATACCTGATGTACCGCCAAGGTCGCGTTCGACTCAACGAGATGAGTGCCCTGAAGTTTCCTCTGCTGGTTATGTTTATAATTGGCGTTGTCATGGCAGCCGTGTCCATGCCAATTGGCCTGGCCAGGCCATCAACATTTGTGTGCAAATTTCAGGACTTCTGGGTGAGTTTGTCGTTAGCGACAATGATTGTGTCCATAGCGGCGCGTAGCATGCGCGGCTCGATTTACCATCTTCGAATACACTGGTCCGAGCACTCAGGATCGGAGCATAGTTCGGCTGAGACGGGAGCTGATGACGACAGCTTCTTCCAGGACAGCGGCTTTGCCGATCATAAATCATCTATCAACTCCTCACCGGGTCTTGTTGGTCAAATCATTGAGCCACTGCCTGCTCAGCGACCTACTCGTGTATCCATAGCGTCAGAGCATTCTACCGAAAAGCGAGATTCCGTGTTCACAAATTCTGGTGGTGGCGGTGGCGTCGGAGGAGGAGAAACCAGTAGGCCATTATCACTGTTGCGGCGGCGACTCACTACCGACCGCAAGCTTACGATCACCAGCACCGTGTCGAAGGCAAGCCCGAACACGCTGGATGCTTTCGTGGCGTTCGTCTTCGTCTTCCTCACGATCACCGTACTGAGCATCACGGCCGCGTCGTCCGGCAGCGATCCAGTGGTGAGCTATCCCAACAGTGAGGGCACGGAGGTGTATCTGTCCTGCAAGCAGGGCAGCGATATCCTGATCGCCGGCGCCGTGTGGGTCATGCTGATGTGCCTGGTCATGGCAGTGCTGACCATCATCTCCATGGCAATGGGAATCACGCCGCCCACCGTCATCAAGTACGCGGCGCTGGCTGTTGTCGGTCTGGTGGTCATCGAAGGCACTGGCGTCATAGTGCTCGCCGTTGCAAGCGGCGACAATCCGAGCGGCCAGGAAGGAGTCGTCGACTTGATGGTGCTGAGCTTTGCTGCCACTTTCCTGTTCGGCGTTGTGCTGATCGACGTCCGGGATGCTGGAAAGACGCCGCATGAAGACGACGTGTTCTCGGACTCCGGCCATTTCAAGAGAGTCCGACACGGCTCTCAGTTCATCGACCAGACACTGACGCCACAGCCAAACATGTTCCGCGGTACTTCGTTTGACCGATCGCCGCGCCGACTCAGCGAGCAGCTCAACGTTGCCAAGACGTTCTCGTTCGACTCTCCCGTCATCCAGCGACACCTGCACCCACAGATGATACTGCACACTGCGGATGGAAACCTAGAGGCTGACGATGCGTCGCCGAGAAGCATAGCGTCCGATGTTGAAGCTGGTGCTCACCCAACTGGCGCTGAACTTGCGCTGGCTGCTAATCGTACCCGCAAGAAGGCAGTATTTCGGCCAAGACTGGAACGTGTGATCAGCTCCGGCCAGTCAGAATCCGGTACGGACACTTCATTGTCGAGGGCTGAGACTGCCCGAGGGTATCCCAGCGTCGTCTTGGAAAAATATCACCTATCTCCGACAACAGAGTTCATGGCGCAGGACGCGCAAGCACATGCGCGTCCACCGCCGCACAGCCCTCAGCTCGCAGCGTTGCCGCCTGGAAGCAGCCCGGTGACAGCGACTGGCCGTACTCTGACGGTGTCGACTGCATCCTCGCTGGACTGCACCGCATCAACTCGGTCTCTGTCTCCGCTCGCTTCGATCGCGTCGTGCGTACATCACGATGCTATCCGTAGTCCCGAGCCCACTGGGACACCGGCGACGGGCAGTCTACCATCATCGCCTTCTAAAACGTACATTGAAACATCCCTCTAGCCTATGCCTCTGGACTCATCAATTACTGAAATAGGTAATATTGTTTGTGCACTCGGCACACCCTGCACGCCAATGCTAACGGCTTGAAGTTACGATAAGAACTACATGTGTGGGTCCCAGAAATAGAACATTTCCTGTGACACGCATCAGGGCGATTACTATCACAGCATGGTTAGTCGAAGAAACACAGATTGTATGGTACAAGATAATGCGAGTTGCAAGTGACAAACTTGGAGCGTTGTTGCTGATCACGAGCCATAGTGCGAATACTATCGAGCGGTGAGCGGGAGTATACCTGTGTGACCAGTGTGATTGCGAATTTGTGCTACAACTCCAAGTCATTGCTGTTGTGATGTAGGGTGTGACGAGTGCGCAGACTATATTATTGATTTTTTTTACGGTTATCGTCTCCTTGTCAACGTTTCAATGATCCATAGACAACCTTTTCTTTTTCCCAGACAGAGCCTCGTTGAGTTGAGCGTTGCTTCATTAGAGATTTTTTGCGTTTACCGGCACGCACGTTGAGTTTGGCGTCTGAGTATAGCTCGATCATGCAAGAAAAGCTGTTTGATACACGTTGAATTAGCTCGATCCACATTATGCTGTCCCATGGCTTATACCTGCGTATGCGAGTGTTGATCGACTTTAACCATGTTTCTTGAATATGCTGTTACTCTCATGACTGCTAAGCCAGTATGGCAACTTATGTTGGCATCCTTGTCCCATAGCTAGCACCATCATTCTCATCCACCAGTGATTAGTGTGTGTGCGCATGCGCGCGCATGTGTGTGTGTGTGTGTGTGTGTGTGTGTGTGTTAGAATGGCAGCATTTTGCGAGGTTATCTCATACTCTTCACTCACCGTGTGTGCGTGCCGCGAGGAGACTCAACATCTCCTTCACCGGGCCACAGTACCTTACGCCGATCTCCTCTCATTTTCTTATATGATCACATCGTGTGAGATTACAACAATATTATTGGGTTGTTCTGAAATGCATTCCAACCTCTGATCTTCATGCTCTCTTAAGCCCTATCCGTTCCTCCATCATTCACTAATTGAAAAATATCATTTTATTTTACGAAGTGACGAGTACTTTGCGTGTGTTGAAGGTTTCCACATTTTCCGGAGTGTAAGTCACACTGGAGTATGAGCTGCACCCAGATTTCTTGTCACAAAATACAGACATACGCCCTGTTTATCACCGTTAATTTGATCATCGGAGTATAAGCCGCACGGGCTTTGTTTGGGGTGAATTACTGATGTTTAGAGTGCGGCTTATACTCCGGACAATACGATTCATTGCCCGGTGAACTGTCTTCGCCGAATCTGCTAATTTCTCCCGGGCAGATGATGAACGTGTTCTGTGCACTTCTTGTAGCCGTGGTTACTCCTTCCCGTTTTATCAGCCATCACCAAAACTTATCTAGTGCCTACTTCAAAAGTAGTCTTCACCTTGGTTAGCAGGTCACAGGATGGTGCTTGGTTGCAATGCTGGGAGCTACGGCCGACCAGTTGTATGGAGACTCTCTTGATTTAGGCTAAGCCCAAGGCCTGTGGAGAATCTACACATACAATACAAATACAGATGCCCAAATACACTAAATACGGTATACGTATATAGCAGGGGCGGTACTCGCTTCTTCTATTGTGATAAGACATGCAGGTTGTAGTCGTTCACAGATGCCGGACTCTCTGCGTGTATTCAGCATTGATGTTCGCATGCGCAGATGCAAACACGCACACACACACACGGCATGTACGTACGCACACACACGCACACACACGCACACACACACATACACACACACATAAACACATACACACACACACACTACTACTACTACTACTACTACTACTACTACTACTACTACTACTACTACTACTACTACTACTACTACTACTACTATTACTACTACTACTACTGTAGCTTGGTTGCTACAAGGGCCACACCACTCCGAAAGGAGCCAGAGTCATTGCCAGGAGCAGAAACGGAGATGAAAACTCAGGTCACTCTGTCGACGGAACTGACGGTTGCAGCGAGAACAGCAAACACCATATGACGCTCTGTCAGACTTGGTTGCTCGATGGCCACGGTCGCACTTGTGACGTCTGAAACCAGGCCCTGACTTGAATTGCCGATTGCATGTCACACACAAGAGAGAAGCTGGGACGTTGAGCGGACTAGATGATGCCGGTGCGGACGCTTCCGATGGTTCAAGGGGCAAACAATGATGCACACGCAAGCCACCACGAGAGTGAAACCACCTCCTGCATGTACCACATTGCACAGCACCACGCTGATCCTGGATAGGGAGACTCCGCTCTGCGCGACACTTGTGCCTTGCTTTGTCACCTGGCCGGCGAAACGAACGGTGGCAGATAAGACAGTCCACCCGTTGAGATTGGTCTTGGGAAGGACCGCCGATGCCCGCCAGGCAGACTGATCCTGAGCAATCCCATACCAAGCCAGATGTTCAATGCCGATGTGCCGAAGATCAGCCGAAATCACATCCCTCCAGCGACGACAGGGACCACGCGCAGGCCAAGGCGACGGTAGGAAGCCAAACAACAGCTGCTTGTGCACACGAACATCCGGCATGCGGGCCACATGGCCAAGCCATTCAAGCCTCCGCTTCCGAAGCCGGGAGGACAATAGCGATGCATCAACCCACATCTCTCGGAACTGCTCATTGGTGATGGGTTCCTCCCACTGCTGTGGTTGCGAAACACACAGAATGCTACGTATGCATTGGTGGTGGAAGCTATCGAGGTGCCGGAGGTCACCCTGCAAAGGGCACCAGCACTCCGAAGCGTACAGTAACACTGTCATCACACAGGCGTTATACAATTGGCGCTTCACATGGAGTGAAAGATCACGATTAGCAAACACATCCTAGAGCGATCCAAAGGCACGCAAGGCGAGTGACAAACGCCTCAACACGTCTCCCGCAGAACGCGCATCCGGAGTGATGACAGAACCCAGATAAACGAAGGAGGAACCATTTTCCACCTCCTGTCCATGAAGCGGAATGCCAGCAATGTCAACGGGAGTAGCACCAACACCAGCCACCATAAATTTGGTCTTGGGTATACTCACAGTGAGGCCAAATTCAGCAGAAACATCCTGGAACGCCGTCAAGGCCAACACAGCATGCTCCCGCGAACCAACTACAAAGTTTGCATCGTCCGCATACTCAACATCAACAACAGCGGTCTGCTGATAGATACGGGTTCGTCGTGCCGGGTTGAATAACTGGCCATCCAAACGATAGCGAAATTGGATGCCAATGTCTGGGTCACGATCAGCGAGAACAGACCGCCAACGTTAAATCACCAGAGCCAGATAGAGGTTAAAGAGGATTGGGGCCATTACACACCCCTGCCTCAGGCCGTTCTCCACACGAATTTCATCCGTGACACCCCCAGGCACACGCACCTCCGCCCCATGCCATCATCAAATGACTCAATGACCTTGAGGAGAGTCAGAGGAATACCAAGGACAGAAAGAGCATGATACAGCGCAGCCTTAGGAACGGAATCATATGCCGTTCTCAAGTCCACGAAGATACAAAATATTTTAGTACGATGCTCGTATGCCTTTTCCGCTAAGTTAGTTGCCGGACAGTAAACACAGCGTCAGCACAGCCACGGTTACGTCGAAATCCGCACTGAGACTCTGGGAGGAGATGCTCGGCTCTAGATTGAAGGTGGTTCTGTATCAAGCGACCAGCCATCTTGCCCACCACCTCCAAAAGAGAGATCCCACGCCAATTGTCACAATGCGAGAGATCTCCACGCTGTGGGATTGGCACCAACTGGGCATTCCGCCACTCCTGAGGAACCCCACCAGAGGACCAGACAGTCAAAATCAAGGCCAGCAAACACTCATGTAGCTCATCGGGGCCATACTTCACAAGTTCGGGCAGGATCCCTGATGCGCCAGCTGCCTTGCCATTAGCCATAGCACGTATCGCTCGACCAACTTCCTCAGGAGAAGGAGGGATGGCGAGCTCCTCGTCGACAGGCCTGACCTCCAGCGTACTGAAAACGTCCAAGTCATAGAGGCTCCTGATATTAAAAGGACATTTGAAAAGTGCTCATACCACCTGGACGAGATTGCCTCCAACAACGTGCATACAATGCCATCGGTGCCACGGATGGATTGCACCTTCATGGGTGTGAGGCCCCAAAGCATCGCTGAATCGCCTGAGTGGCAGCCCAGGCACTCTTGGTATTAAACCGCTCAGCCTCCACGATCATCTTGTTTACTGAGCCAGCTCTCCTTTGCGGAACGAACAGCCGCACGTGCCTCACCACAGGCCTCCCTGTAGGCAACCAAATCCGCCCGGCAACCAGAGTGACACTTCCGATACAAATCATTCCGGGTATTCAGAATGGGCTCCAATGTGGCCGTACTCTGGACAAACCAGTCAGGACTGCTACGCCTCTCATGCCCGATCGCAGCCTTAGCTGATGACGTTATAGCCGCCTTAATACAGGACCACTGCTCCTCAATGAGCCCGCCTGCATCAAAGCTCTCCAAGCTACCAGACAGACTGTGGCCATACTCCGCTCGTGTGCACCCGACTAACTCCCGCTTCTCCTCAGTCATACCCGGCACAGTCAGGAGCTCCTGAACCGCAAACCGCCACACACACATACACACGCACACACACACACACACACACACACACACACACACACACACACACACATACACACGCACACACACACACACACACACACACACACACACACACACACACACACACACACACACACACACACACACACACACACACACTGACACACACACACACACACACACACACTGACACACACACACACACACACACACACACACACACACACACTGACACACACACACACACACACACTGACACACACACACACACACACACACACACTGACACACACACACACACACACACACTGACACACACACACACACACACACACACACACACACACACACACACACTGACACACACACACACTGACACGTGGATAATTGGACATGTACATGTACCTACACACTCACATACACGTCTTCTTTTGCATGGAACTTCAGCCCTCACCATCGTCTACACGGATTTCAAAAGCGTCGACCTCCATTTTGAAAACAGGGTGGCTGGCCGCGCTACCCGTAGGCGCACGTGCCCACCGCGTGTCTTAGCGCGAGCTTCGAGCTAAAGATCATGTCGCCCACTCATTTTCCTGTGTTTCCCCATTTCTTCGAACTCGCTCAGCTTTTGCTTCAGCTTTTGCTTCGCTCGTGCTTCAGCTCCACGCTGTAGTCTGAGTTTAGTTCTCTTGTCTTCTTCCAGCAGAATACTGCAAACTCTACAGCACGTCCAGCTTCTCCTAGAAGAGTTTCTTTTGCGTCGAGGCAGACTGTCGATCGGTTCAGTCCTATCTTGCCATCGTCTCATGAGCGCCCGAAAGCAACAGTATCTATTTTCTTGTCGTTCCATTTTCTGGCGAACTCATTCACCTACTACTTCTTCCTTTATGAAAGCTTCAGGTGGCTGAGTTCTCCCACTAGCGACAATCATGCCTTGGAAAAGAACAGGATATTCCTAAGGTATATACAGCCAGTGCAAGGATGTCAGTGTACTGCACTGCAAAAAGCACCTGCATGTACCTGTGTACTGCGCGTAGTTGTTGTTTGTTTTGTCGAGAAAGAATCCCTTTCACACTCGCGCGACGCGCGGGCGCAGCACGGAAACGGGTGTATTGAATTCATTTCTTGGTCGATTTTGACAACCAATACGTCGTTGTTTTTCTTTTTTCACTGGCTATCCTTTCTCCGCTTCCGAATTGCGATGCCGTCCACCTGGAAAGCCTTGAAGTGAAACGAGTGGAGGCCGGTTTCGGAGGTAATTTTCGGCCAAACGGCAATCAAATCGAAAAATTCGAAGCGGACGATCTGTTGGTATCTATCGAAAGAAGACGTTGGTCCATAAAAAACCTTTGGAAACTACACCGTATGAACCAAGGAATTACGGTAAGTTTGAGAATTTTGGTACATTAGCTGTACGCTGATTGGTCGATTAGCGCGACCGTTGAGAAACGGGCCAGTGACGCTTTGTACAGCGTTGGTGAGGGCTGAACTTGAAGTATTGAAAACATGTATAAAATGAACTGTCATCCCTTGGCCTATATGTATATGTAGGCCCTACTCACTGTCTTAGTCCTCATGGAGGAAATATGCTCCCCCCCCCCCCCCGATGAGCTGGCTAGACATAGTATACACCACACTATCATGCCAACAAGTAATCACAGCAGCCATGGAAACGTCGGTGCATACAATACATGCATAAGTGTACCTCTCTTGCATGTGGCGTTGCCTAGTACTCTGCACTAGTGGTATGTAGTTGTATTATGTTATCATACTTCATCAATTGAGCAGGCACCAGTTCCCTATGCCTGGGGTAATGCACATCAAATTGATCGTCTGAACAGCGCAGATCCTTTCCGCATTGAACGATCGATATGACAGTTAGAACATTGTATACACTGAGTGTACATGTACATGTAGGTGATGCAAGGAAATGTCTACACATCTGTCCAGAAAACGCTGCAGAGTGCAAGTCTGCTGGTCTTCCTACCCATGTATCATCCGCCCAGAGAGGCTCTTACCCACTTGTCACCATGGTAACCTTTGACGGATAAGGCCGGTAGAAAAATCAGCAGAATTTGACACTTTTTCGGGCAAATAATAGTTCCATGCAGGTTCAATATGCGTATGGAGTAGGACCAGAATCACGTACTGTCGGTCGCCGAAGATGTGAAGATTATGTCCTTCTTTATAAACTGCTGTGGATGGGAAACAAAGGCTTCTTCTTGACCCCGATTTGGCCTGGAGGATGGTAGTAGGCACCCAAAAGTGTATTTGTCGCATGCCTCACAGGTACATTAATTTTGTACATCATTTTCATACCTAGTCCTAGGTATATCATTGTCCCGATTTCAGGTTTGCAAAGGTTGGCAGGTATGAGAGAGATGTGAGCGTAGTCCAAAAGCCAAACAATCGCACTCCCACTCCCAGGGTGTGTGCAGTTCAACCTGTGCGGCAGTGTGCACCCTGATCCCAGCTCATACACCATGTACCAGATGTACACGGTGATATACCATGTATACTGCAAGGCATACACCTGCATGACTATTGCAGGTACAATGTACGTACCTGGACAGAGAGCTGGCTCGGTCCACATGGCACCTGCACACTGCACAGATCAGCACACGAAGAATACGGACGGCGTCGACAAGTGCTCCGACAAAGTGCTTAGTAATCCCACGGCAGGCCCGCCGGAACCGGTCCGGTTGGTCAGCCCATGGCTTTGGTAGTCGACAATCGATGCCGCGCACTCGGCTCGAAGATAGGGGCCTCTCCTCGCGTCGACAGTTGTTCACCCTGGGTTTCCTTGTAAGCTGATCACTCATGGGGTAGCCGTGGCCTCATTGCCGAATATCGCATTCACACGCTCGCCTCCGCTTTCAAAATACTGTACCGATGAGTGAGTTCGATGTTCGGAAATCTACCACAAATGCCTCCTGGCCTTGTAAGACTACAGTAAGCTGTATAACTGGAAGGAATAGCGAGGGTTGTTCTACGAGGATTTTTGCCCGCAGCACAACATCTTCTGCTCGGCAACCCTCAACCTTCTTCAGCAGATCAGCACTTCCTCAGTTCCCGCGCTCCACGCGCGACGCCGTCGACCGTCCGTGAAGTGAAGATGATCGGCCGGGTACGGGTATGTTCCCGAGCGGACAGCACCCACAGCCGCAGCCGTCAGCAGCATGCAGCCGATGATAACATACTCATTGTGGTGCTTGCAAGCGTCGTGTGGTCTCGTCTGGTCGAAGAAAATAACCATGCAGTTTTAATACCCTTAGGCCTTACTATACCTACCGATATTATCCTGTACTGTAGACTCACGAGTCATGTGTGATGTACTTGTTACGTAATGTACAGTAGGCAAGATTGTAGCTCAACACTCACTCGATTTGTTGCGGACTTACCGTGATCAATGTCGTAGTCGTGGCAACACCGGGGTATAGGAGATTGTCTCTCTGTTGCATGCTCATGATTTGCGCTTTTATTTACTATTTTCAGACACGATGGATCATTCATAGCGACTGTCCTTGGCTGGGGCGAGGCCAGGAGTCTTGCCCGCAGCTTACACAACATCCATGAGAGCCGCCGATTTCCTCATCCAATTTTGATTCTGGCCACGGGTAATGTTTCGACGAGCCAATAACATGGTGCACTATTATCATCACAATCTTTAGCTCTGTGTATGCACGCAAGAAAATTACGTCCTCTTTTTTTCTTTTTTCGGCCAGTTGGCTACTTCCCCATAAATTTTCGTCTGTGGAGGGGGGGGGGGGGTAGACAAGGGGAAGTAGCCATGTAGGGGCGTGACTTTCGGGACCGGGAATTGCAGCTCGCCCGACTCGACTCTACTGAATGAAGAGGACCAACACATTGATCTGGTGAGCTGCGTCGTCGGGATTTTGCAGTCAGATGTGCGCCTCTTTGAGTCTTATTCTGAGTGTGCGAACCAAAATTTGTGGTGGGGGAGGAAGAATTGCATGGTCCTTGTTACGAGGAGGTCTGCAAGAAAACCTAGTGGAAAACGCAAACGTTCTGGCCTTCTGCTAGTACTTGAAGTAGGACCTCTCCTCGGAACTCGAGTTTCATTGTTTTCTAAATGGGCTAGGGAAGCCCTTGGTGGATACGGAAAGCAGTGAAATTGGCAGGACCATGCGAGCCGCATGGCCAGTACTTCCTTGAATTCTGCTGCATTTCTTCAGTCACATACCAAACATGCATGAGACATGCCCGAGAAGCGGTGCCGAGTCCTGCCAATGAGTGTAACGTTCTTCCGTCGTTATCCGCCACGGGCTAGGGGGGGGGGGGGGGGGGGAGGTATTGGTGGTGTACTCCTGTGTGCCCCTCAGTTCAACTTCACACACCGTAGGGGTTATAGCATAACAGCTATTTTTATAAAGGCAACTCGCTGTACAGTTGAAAAGCGAATTACAATACGAGCAAGCCTTGATGCATTGAACATTGAAATCGATAAAAGGTTGAAACTACACGTATTATTGGTTTTCATGTATGGGCATCTGAGCGAGAATGAAGTTCCAAATAAAGAAGAGGCAGTCATCCACACTGATCATGTGTGGGCAATCAAAAAAATCAAGAAATAAATAAATACAATATGGGGAGAGGGTACTAAAAGATCCATGGGAAAGTGTTTGTCCTAATGAGGTTCCGGGAAGCGGAGAGAGAGAGAGGGAGAGAGAGAGAGAGAGAGAGAGAGAGAGAGAGAGAGAGAGAGAGAGAGAGAGAGAGAGAGGAGAGAGGAGAGAGGAGAGAGAGAGAGAGGAGAGAGAGAGAGAGAGGGGGGGGAGTGTAAATAGATGTACTGTATGGTACAAATGGGATGGAGACTCGAGAGATGAGCAATAAAATAGAACGGTTTATGTCAGGCCCTGGAGTTGATGTTCCAGAGATATCAAGACTGGTGAATTGCAGCAGGCAAACCTTACTGAAAACTTCGGAAATGCTGAAAGAAAGGGAATTTGAGCAACGTACAAAAGCAAAAGCAAAGAAAACCAGGTTTCTCATGATCGGAGAGATGTGCAATTTTCTGCACAAGTTCTGCAGAGAGCTTGCAGTGATGACAGCAACATTACACGCTAAGCTACAAGAAAATGAAATCGGTGCGGGGATGCCATGGCTGTGTGCACTCAAGTGAGTGCGTGTGTGTGTGTGTGTGCGTGTGTGTGTGTGTGTGTTTGAGTGATGTCTTGTGCTGAATTTGTCATGATCAAAATGCTGGCTGGTGTCACACGTCCCAGAGCTGGACGACTAGCAAACTATCGATGTTATGTGCATGACACCATCATGTATACTTTGTACGGAGTGGGTTATGTGCATGACATCATCATGTATACTTTGTATGGAGTGGGTTATCTGCATGATGACACCATCATGTATACTTTGTACGGAGTGGGTTATGTGCATGACATCATCATGTATACTTTGTGCGGAGTGGGTTATGTGCATGATGACATCATCGTGTATACTTTGTACATAGTGGGTTATGTGCATGACATCATTGTTTTGTATGCACAGAGTGGCAAGCCAGTGATGATGACAAAACTGCACAGACTAGTGCTGGGTGAGCTTCCAGCTATGACACGCTGTCTTCCCATCTCGCACCTGTTCTAGGTATGGGCTTTTGCACGATGCTCCGCAATGCGAGTTCTCCATGCTAAAGAGACAGGACTGGTGGCATTGGCCCGGGGAGCGTGTACTGGAGACATGCTCGCACAACGTTTCTGGGTTTTCCTGGTAGCAGTTGAACAGCTTCGTGTGGCTCTCGTACAGTCTGACCCGGCTGAGCGATGTCAGAGTGTGCCCCTGGTTTGTGGAATTACGACTGCAATTGTGCTCGGGACCCGTCTTCACGTCGCCCAGGAGCTTGACCAGAGGCAGCGATCTGATCTTCGAAGTCTGTCCATTGAGCATCTGATCCACAGCTACCCTGAAGTACTGTGTTGAATTGGAGGCATTCTGGACTTCGTAATCCAACGTGTTCCAACTTTCGTTGTTGCTGAAGATAAACTTCAGAGCGTTTTCCTAACACAAACAATAGACACGCACACAGATGTGCACACAATTTTAGAATGCAGACAGCATGCCCTGAAATAGTTTGTTGCACAAACAACAACCAGCACGATGCAGTTAACTCCCAAGGTCTCACCTCAAATAGACAATATTAACCTGGTAATGGAGACAATGCACCAGCATGTAATACCTGACTGGATGGTACACCCTTTCCAGCAGCAGCAGCAGCAGCACCAGCAGCCTATGTGTCAATCTAACCAAAATCTCTACTACTGTCGTCGGGATACTTTTTAACAAGAGTAACGATCCTGGAGCTATCTGCACCACTCTTCCCGACACTGGTTAAGTTCGTCTTGAGTGCCAAGAAAGCTTGGTGGATAGATTTTAAAATCCCTTTTTGCGAAAAGGTCCAAATGTGAGAATGTTCATTTTGGGAAATGTTCATTTTGGGAAATTCCACCTGAGTGTAGACAACGGCTTGGCATTTTAAAATGTTTAGATCCTCCAGACAATGCCAAGTATTCTGGTTCTTTCAACTCACCAATGGTTGGCCTGCATTCCTCTGCCTCTCTGTGATGTCCTGCAGCGACTCTAAGCGCAGCTCCCTGGTCAGTCCGCAGCCTGTCAGATTTGTCTCCGTCGCGGTGACAAAGAATCCGGGGTGCCTGAAGCTCTCCATGGCTACTTCGTGCGACCTTCCTCCGCGTAGGTGCTGGAATGGGTGAATGATGAAGATGTCTGTAAGAAAGGGAAGCAGAGAAGTACAGTCAAACAAGATGGCTTGGCTATATGCTGTAAGGTAGCAGCATTCATTTTAATATCTATGCATTTACATTGTGCTTTGCAAAACTTGTCATTGTATTTGAGGGCACAACTCTTTCCGTTGTGAAAAGTTTCAAGCGGAGAAACTCTCAAGATGAGTCTTGTCAGATTTTTTGACTTGAGCTATGTTTGTACAAGGTGACCAGATGCATACTTCATTGCCAAGACAAGTACTTGTTCAATCAACTTGTATTTTCTTTCCTGCATTCCATGCACATTGTCTCGCAGTGATCAACACGAGCGAACACAACAGTACGTGATACATGGTGTTTAAGTTAGGTAATACATAATCCTCCACCCACCCACCCCCCCTCCTGTGAATAGTATGTAGATTCTACCAGTGGGCTTGTGACACAAGCACTTCTGGTGAACAGTAAGGTGAGATGAGAATATGTCAATGAAAGAGAGAGGTGGTTACTTCGGCAGATGAGTGAGCATGCCAAAGCGCCACAACAACATTCCACACACAAGGATGTATGCCATGATGCATTCCCTTTCAGCATGCTCCTACACAGGGCTTGAATAGCTTAAATTCACCGTGGAATGTTGAATACAAGCAATGACTTTTAACTGCTCTTTGAAGTGTTAAGATTACTCATTACAAGCACTTGCAACTTACAAGATTGTGTGCACACAGGGTGTCACATGACTTAGTCAATAATTGTTGATACTCATTTTCATATCAACATGAAAACAGCAACCTACAAGGCTACATGTTTGTCACCTGATGTTGCTGAAATGATGCAATAGGCCGACGGATTTGCTTTAGTTCCGAGCTCAACACATTCGTTGCTGTCGTATCGGCTCTGTTTCGGATTGTACTGCGCCAATGTGCACGCATCTACAACGTAAGACCATGCTAGAGAAAGCGAGAGGTACTACTAGTATCTGGTTCTAGTCCTGCCTGGGAGAGCTTTTTCCTACTGTGTTCCTACCCGTATCCAATTGGGGAGCTTGTGGATAGGTACAATGGGGTACATTGTTGCAGCTAATGACTATGTAGCTTTGAGCACTGCGTACAAGGTATGCCGCGGCTTGGATGTTCGGTATGCCAACTGCTGTCGTGAGTTCCCTCCGGAACGGAGACGAATATTTTGTTTTTTAATTTTTTAAACCCTAGTATTATTTTTGTCATCTGCCAATGTGTTGAAAATTGTTTTGAAGAAATGATCATGGTCCATTGGAGATACTAATATCAGACAAAGCTTGTAGGCGGAAGTCTTTTTTTGTGTACTTACTGTTTATGGAGCATCTTAGTCCCGGCTTGAGCGGAGATCCGATGTCGTCTCCCACGCCAAGGGTCAGGTCTGAAAACCACTGTCCATCGTTGATGTAAATCATCGCAAACGACGTATTTTGATTCGTCAGGGAGCTGTTTACACCCACACTGAAGTTTCGATAGCGTTCGCAACGCACCTCGTCCGTCTCCGCTACTGATAGCGTCAAGATGCCACTGGCAGTGGCACCGATGACCGCCAGCATGGAAAAACGCAGTAAAGTTTGAACAACATTTCCGCATCCGACCATCGTACATCCACTGCTGCAGTGGCGGAGCTGTCGAGGAGTCGCGAGAGGTGTGTCCATGGTGGTAGTACGCACGCACGTAGTGAACAAGGTCGGAATGCGAAAGGTGCGCACTGACTTAGCTGATCTCTTGGCGTCCGTGTCAACACACTTATCGTCGCTGATAGCCACTGGCGCGGGAAATCTTTGAACTGACTCACGAATACCCTGCCTGTCAGTCTCTAGGGTCCTGCGCAGCTGAGCACAATGACGAAGTTACTTGGCAGGTGTGAAGACTACACCGGCTCTGATGCAATGATGGGTCGAGTTTGGGAGAATCTGAAAACACAAGGAAACAGTTGCAGAGGATTGACTGCGGTTCAAGAATCACTACATTCCTGGAAACGAAGTTGACAGTGAGGGATTGGGTGACGATGATCGGCCACCTCTAGGTAAATAACGTTACTGATCACAAACACGAAATATACAAGCATTTATACCGGGCATGTCCTCATTTTCACTACCAGTGTGACCCAACGAATGTCAGGGCATCACACCACAATCATTTGTCCCCGGTTCCAAGTTCAGTTGTTCACAAACACAGGGACTTGCAAAGCAGGACAGCAGGAGCTGGGCAAAGAGGGGCAAGCATTGGCTGCTGGTACTCCTGGATGTGTCGATGCTGTGACATAATCCTTCTTGAAGTCGTGAAACGTTCGGGACGCGTCAGCGAAAAGTGGCGCACACGTCCGCCATGCTAAAGTAAAGACCGATACTGGCGGTGGGAATTCCCCGTCGATCATGATCGCGCGGATTACGAATAGCGTCGAAGATGGCGGAGAACTGGAGTATCGCGCTAAACGGGGGCAAGACTATGGAAGCGAAGACAAGCCATGGGTTTAGCAGAAAGGCAAGAGCATAGCGACCGGAGGACTGGAGAATGCACGGTCAGTCTCGCGTTGATCTTGGCAGGATCGTACGGATTCGCTCCTGTAGGCGCAGGACATGTTTGGACTGGTCCGGATTTCATGACACCTACCGGAATAGAACCCTGTGAGGCTGTATTATACGTAGACCTACGGCGTGTTTACCATCATACTACAGTGGACGCTCCCTGCATGTTTGCTTAGGATAGTGATTGCGTAGACGTACATAGCACGACTGTGTGATGCGCACCATTGCTGGAAGCCGAAGGCAAGAGAAGAACGTTGGATATTCCGTGCAAAGTACCACACACGTGGAATATGCCGTTTCGAATCAAAGTCCGTGTCGGTACGTACGTAGGATCGCGGACGTGGTACATGTGTGCGCGCTGTGAGTAGCGTCTGGGGCGAGTAATGTCTCCAAAACTGCCAAGCCAGGGTGATGTAATGCAGAGATATCCGTCGGAGTTACTTCATGCCGGAAGCAACGCCCGAGTGCACCTATTGTGGAATCTTGTAGACGAGCTGGTAACGTGTGGCCTACTTCGAGTATGAGCTCTGCACTGGCGGAAATCCTGCAGATGGCAGCAGCTGGGAGGTAGGTAGGTAGGTAGGTAGGTAGGTAGGTAGAGAGAGAGAGAGAGAGAGAGAGAGAGAGAGAGAGACAAGGGGAGGGAGAGAGACAGCTTTCCCATGCCTTTATACACGTACCACAAGGCCAGATTTGATTTGCTCACGGATTCGACTCGGCCCAACACATGCAGGTTAACGCCAGGAACCGCGTCCTAGTATCAGATAAAATAGCACTTGATCTTCTGGATGTATTGGTTGTCGCTCTGTGGACGTGTCTGTGGACGTGTCACGCAGAACCAAACGGGCAGTGTCGTCCAAATTACATAGATGCGGAATTCGCGGACATGTACTGTAGTACTAGCTCGTATGTACTAGTATCAGGTGAGTTGATTCACAACATCGCATGGAGGAGGCAAAGAACGGTCCAGTCGTACTATGATAGTGCCAGAGCGTCAGAGAAGAGCTTTCTAGCGATATCCCGCTTCTGACCTTGGTGAGTGTAGTGACAAGGATATTGGTGCAGTCGGTACTCTGGTCTGGGAAGACGGTGCATTTGGAGGAAGAAGGAGAGAGCAGTGACCGTCACCGGGTAACTGTTTAGGGGACCATTCCAGAAACCTTCGCCATTGGACTGTGTTCCCGCACTAGTGCACCGTATATACTTGTACATGCACTCTGGAGTACGTGTGGGCTTTCCCGCTGCAGATGGTCAATAAATGCCAACTGCCATCTGTTATTTTATCCAGCCTAGTTCGACACTGGCCCAGGATGCAGCGCTGCCCAGGAATGGAAGGACACAGTGGTGCTCCGGATCGATTCTACCCAGCCCCCTGCGTGCAATCACGTCATAGCAAGTGATCGACTTAAAACGTACTTCCTCCATCACACATGGTTCATGCTTATGGAGCTAATTGACAGGTGTTGGTTGCGCTTTTCAACGGGTATGCAGCTGAATTGCAATGTTTGCTGCAATGGTCTGCTTTGGAGTCCACTGGTATACTGATAATAATAAGAAGCGGCAGCGAGGGAGGAGAAGACTCGAGGAAACGGAGGAAATTGCACTGGGGAGGAGGGGAGAGCAGTGAAGGCTTCTTGCCATACCTTTTAGTTTACAACATCAGTGTGTCTTTGATTTTCGTTAGGATTTCTTGCAGTAGGCCTAAACGTTTCATGCGAGGTGCAGTAGTACACAGAGTACATATACAAGAGTCACACACCAAGACCCTGGCGCTGAGGGTGATGTACTCATACTCGTACTCTGGGTAAACCGTAATACAGTATGCCATTATGATGACTGCGAAATGAGAACAAGTTGAGGGTTGGAAGGGTTCTTCTCCATAGCAACCAACTCTTGTGTCCAACTAGGGCAAATCATGTATTTCTAATTCTAGGGTAGGGGGAGGGGAGAGAGAGAGAGAGAGAGAGAGAGAGAGAGAGAACTATGACATGTCACATTATTGGCGTACTTTTGGTGGGAACTCGTACATGTACATGGGCAACTATTGCCCTAATAGGCAACATACATGTGTGGTGCTGGTTTGCTTCAGCTTTTCAGAAATGCAATTCAGGGAGTGATACTACACATTATACAATCGTACATTATGTGAGAGTTTCATTACTAGCATTAGTCAGTAAAGCATCGGCCATGCAGAAGGTATGCGGCGAAAGCACAGTTTCTACCGGCATAGCATGCCCGAAATCAGCGCCCCCCCCATTTTGATACATACAAGTACATAGCTACATGTATGTACATGTATGTCACACAGTGACTGATGGTATTTGGTAGGCAATACTTAAGTAGTTGGAAGCAAAGCGGCCGGCGAAACAGGTGCGAGAAGTAGGTGATGGTAAAACTAACATTTGGGCGAGGTTATTATTGACCTCAAGACCCTGAATAGAACGTTTCTACCAACGCCGAAAGAGGGTGGTATTTCATTCGTACGCCTTCTTGTTGTGAACCTTTTACAAACCTGTTCTGTAAAATCCCCAGTTCGTGTAGATCGATCAACGCCGCAAAGAAGTAGTAGTCAAATCTTGCCACTACTGGCCTATAAAGCAATAGTAAATGTGCAAGTATCTATTATCTACTGAATGAATTACTTCCTGTTTTCAAGAACATACTAGTATGAGTACCATTGTAGTAGCTCTTTCCATGCTGGTCATAGTGCATGACATTGTACTGTTGTATTGTGCAGTATTCCAACTTATCATAGTCCTGCAGTTAGTGAAGGATGAACTCACTGAACTGTGCTGCACCTTGCCCTAGGTAATCGATTATTGTACGCAATCTGCTATTTCAATATAATTAGGTTCGTTCTTGGCTTTGGTACAAGTGAGTTGTCGCCGGGGAATGTCTAGTTGCCCAGTTGAGGAACTCAAGTGCTTGGCTTGTAGCTACCATGTACAGACAAATTGCCTATCCTTAATTTAGCCGGATAATAACACAATCTATGTGGTGGCTTGATATCATTGGAAGCTAAGATTGTTGATTTTTTGCTGTTTATCTTTGCGCTTCTGCTAATAACTTCAATGAAAGTCTCTATTGGTCAGCCTACCACTGTATGGGCGCCGGCTTTACTTCAAAGTGGACTAATGGCAAATTGCCCAGCCCAATAGTCCTAACCCCCCACTTAACCCAACAAGGCAACCCTTAAGAGTGGAATCTTACCTTGCAGCTTCGTGATGAAGGTCTTGGCAAATTCACAGCAGTAGCTAACGTTCTTGTCTCCTGGGTACACCGGTCACCTTTGCTGGACGCGTCTCAGTAGTACTCCAGACTGTCTAATCAGCGTGCCAGATCAAGTTGTCGTCTCTAAGGGGTTGCCAATCTGTTACTGCTTCGGATATCGTGTCCAAGGTTTTATAGTCTTCGACAATATGGTCACGGATCAGCTCTCGGTTGCCAGATCAAGCCAAACGATTTACAAAGACAAGGGTTGAACAGGAACAGAGGGGAATGAGTCGACTGTCCCAGTAGCTCGCCAAAAGGATTTGCATCGGGGATGGACGCAACGTAGCCGATTTCGACCTGAAATCTTCCCAACGCCGCACAGGGCAGCCATTTGAATACAATAATGACTGGCGGGCAACGATATGTGGTGCAGGTGGCAACGACCACGTTGCTGGTAGTAGATGAGCGGGAGTGGTAGTCATTACGAGCGAGGCGCGGACATCGCAGGCATCCTTTCATTGCGGAATGTCCTTAGCTTGATGTACAATGTAACTCGTGGCAGCACTTGACGCACACGCCGGCAACGCTATAGGGTCAAAAATCTGTGAAGTCCCCTGCAATTCGGGAAACGGAGCGGACAACTAACGTGTTAGCCCAGATCAAGGCCCGGTACAGTGACAGGCCATCAACAACAATGGCAACATGTCATGATCAACATGACGTGTGTGTGCATCGTGCTACAATACTCAATAGTGCAGTTCCGATCAACTGGCCCAGGACCATCTGCACGTCGTGAGGCTAAAATTAAATTCCGTCCTGGACCTGTTTACCCATGTAAGCTGTAACCTTGTTTAACCCCTTGTTCTCGGACACATAATATCTACAGTACGATTCACCCTTAGATTTAAAACCTGGTTCTTTTGGCCTAGCTGAGAGAGTGGGGATTGACTGAGCTATACAATCATAATGCATGTACAATGTAGGTATTTTGTTCATGACGAAAAGTCCGTATAGAGAATGTGGTGTGTCGTTTTTGGATTTTCGTGGCCTCTCCACCCTTTAGTCACTTCTTGGAGCTGGCTGGATTATTTGTCTCACCGCAAAAGCATTGCAGTTTGTTTGTTCCACATTTCCAGCCGTCCCCTAGGCCCCATACTCCACAGTTCGCTGAATAAATGAATAACTATCAGCCATGTTCCGAACCAACCCTCATCCCGTGGCACTCTACGGTGGCAAACTATGTCGGTGTCTTCCTCGCCATATTTGTACAACATCCATTAACGCTGTCCAATGGCGGAATGAGTTAAACACGTGGTGTGTCGTTATGAATGAGGCGCTTCAGTTCAGTGACTGCTCTTCGTGCAGCATATATTTCCGTCTGTTCTTCATCCGAACACGGCCGTGCGTCAACAATCAGGTCATCATTGCTATCGAGGGCCGCGGGGAAGCCCAGCCAGCGCCACCACTATGGATAATACCAGTATACTGTACAGCATAGAGCTGCGGCGGTAACCTTTGAATCGCCACCACCACCATACAATCACGTAACTATTAGCTGCGAGTATGGGTAATGCTGCACCCTGGCAATCTCTTGCTTTCAAAGGAGAACTCGTCTGGCGCGAGCATTTGCGTTAGAGGCCCTGGGGTGCTTATTCCATCATGCCCTGTGACGTACCAGAACCCAGTCGGGAGCTAGTTGACGCCCAGTACCATGCATGTCCGTTAATTAAGTTTACGATGTACAGTCCGTAGTGTTTTGCCATGGCTACTATACACCAGAAGGATCAGTAGCAGGAGTATAGGATAATTGTGTGAAGAAGTACACTGCTGCCATGACAAGTAAATCCGCCCTACTGTTGTACATGTACTGTACAAGGTGCCGATACTTTTTGACTGTCGAGTCGGATTTCGTTCGCCAGGAGTATACATTATGTGCCTGTTGTGACACACTGGTACCAACAGTCCCCTCCGGAGCCCTGCGGACATGGAGAAGACTAACACAGTGAAGGGTGATGACTGGATCTAGACCCTGCAGGCCTGCAGGCCTGGCTGCTTTGTTTGCCCAGTATGTTCATGTGCATGATATTGGAACTCCACTGACACCGCAGCATGCATGCTAATACCGTCTGTCCACCGGAGTTGAATCCGTCTGGGTTCGAGGCCCAGAGTGCACACACACACACGAGGACGTCGTGCAGCACGCAACAGCATATGTGAAATGCACAATGTCGTACATGTACGCAATGCACACACGTCCACGAGCAGATGTTCTCAGGTGGTACATGAAAACTAATAATTACGAGCATTCCCATGCTACAAGCCTCGTGTCCTCGCGCCTTTTACCCCACAAAAGTAGAGAAGAATGGGCTGCGTGTATGTCATTGTGGAAAGCATTGCATAATCCCTCATTAGTGTCATTACTGCCAGAATTAACTTCGTTAGAAGGACAAAGTCATAAAGATAACATGGAGTTCTACTCTTCCGGACAAACATCGCGCCCGGAAATTTGTATTCATTATTGCATACTGCTGGTTGGACGGGTGCGACTTGCAGAAAGCAAAGGTCAGCGCGACCTGCTAGATACGTCTTGGAAACACGTCGTTTGTGGCCCAATGGAGGTCAACTCGACAGTGGTCTCTCTTCCAGGAGGAGCCAGTAGTGACGTGAGCTGTCATTTTCCATGTCGCTCTGACCCTTGTTGGTGAAGCACAGCAGATGATTTCTAGCCCTCTATCCGTCTTCCATGTCATCTGTCAGCCACAGATGGAGATTGAGGTGGCATCGCGTCACGTGCGGCGTTTGCTGGGTCTTGGCAAGTAAGGTCACGCTGTCAAAGTGTGGGTTACCCTGGCCCCCGGACGCACCGAGGCTGTCCGAATTATTATTAGCATCTCTCTCAGGTCAACTGCACCACACCAATAAGCAATGATGTTATTATGACTGAGCGGCCAGATATTGGTTGTGTGATACCGCTCTGTAGTATTAGTGCTTGAATCAGTGTTTCTATTTTCTGCTAGAGCAGTGTTAGATGTGATAGTCGTGTTCCAGCGATGAGTAGCAAATACGAGAACATTGGGTTTGCGGGACATTGTTTTCATCGCAGTCCCCTCCCCAAAAGAACATCGACAATGTGCGGTAGCTCCCCACTCGACTAGTAAGGAAATTGAAGCTTCACTAGAATCCTGAGGGCTAGGTGCTAACTCTTCTCTTCCGGAAGAATGTGAGTTTGGTCGATAAGCCGCCAATGACCTAAGAAGCAGGAATGGTGCATTGATCAACCAGGAAATGTTCATAGACGCGTCTCTAACACCCGTAAAGTGGTCGTTGTATTTATGATCAATGACGAACACTGTCGACTAAGCATTAGTGACTAGCATGTTACTTGACGCGATTGATGCACACGATCTTTGATTCTTTGTAGATCCCGCCTGAGAATCAACGCATGATTGGGAAGATTTGCGACTTGCGCAAAGTGGTACGTAAGCATGACACGAGTTATGAACGAATTCTGCATTGGCACAATATTCTTGCAGAACGGACACGCAGAAGCGAGGCGAAAAAAACTCAGTTTATTTCCTTCAATTCCTGACAAACCAAATGTTGTAACTGTCACAAGGATTTTACGAAGTGCACTGCTTCATTATCTCATCGGTCATTTACACTCCATGTGCATGTACAGTGTATGCATTTGGCGTTTTCAATAGGTTTTCGCCGCTCTACCACATTCGCTTCCTTTTACATTCTGTGATTTGTCACTTTTGATTTGCTCCTCCTCCCCTCCCCGTTGCTTCATTATTAAATTTGGTTTATCGATCACATGTACATGACTAAAAGGAAGCGCCATCGTCTGTTCGTGTTGCGACTTAAAATATACTTCAACAACAATTCAACAACAACTCCACCACCACCAGATGATCTTACCAGTGGCGGGAGAGGATATTAGATGTGTTCATACGAGTACGTGTACGTTGCTCTTGGCACGATTGTCACGTAGTTAGCTTTACAAAATTATATGAACTAAACAATCTGCGAGGAGATAGTAATTCAATTACAGCTACATGTACATGTACATGTACATGTATGAATAGAACGAAGGCTGCAGACATCACCACCAAACATGTTGTTCGAAAGGATCGTAGGTGTATAATCCAGCATCGATTTACTCTTAGTTCCGCAAATTCCACTGATGATCGGAACAGAAAATCGATTCTAGATAATACACATACATACACATACACATACATGTACATGTACATTGTACATGTATGATCATTTCGAACAAGTTGCATGTTGCGTGGTAATGTCTGCAGCCTTCGTTCCATTAATAGCTCATTTTTACGATGAACTAAAATTAATGGTCCCTGGTTCGAGTCCTGGTGGTGACAGTCAGTTTTTTCTTCAGAATTTTCCCGTTTGCATCTTTCCCTCAAACCAATGAGCAGAACTGTTCTAAATTTACCCGGCAGCAATAACGCCAGTCCTTGCAATGAACACTGTCAGAACAGGGCGCCTCGTGAAACTGCATTTTGTAACTAATCAGATGTATGGGCATTTCGTGGGAAAATACCTACGCCTTCCCACGACCTTTCAACCTTGGCAAAGCTATAATGACCTTGGCTAGTGTTGCGCGATGGCATACACTGTACATATTACTACATATCCGTGTACAAGAGCTCAACGGTTATATCAGGGAGTTGTGCGACTCTCTGTTAGCAACACATACACAATTGCCTGGGAGTACATTTGAATGTACATGTACATGTACGTACAAAATTGGTCCATCTTTTCATCCCACTCATTTGTAGTTTGTCTAGGTCATTCACGCTGACTATCATCAGAGAGGCACATATGCATGTACAACTTAGTTGAAGCTACTCGTTACTGAATGACTATGTTTTGTGCGACGGGCCCCAGGGGGCTCACAAATACTCCCCAAAATACATGTACAATTAACGGAAGCGTACCAAGAACATTTCATTTATGTGGAACTAAAATGTACATATACATGACACATGTAACTTCTTTTGGTAGGACTACGCCCAACACGGGCCAACAAGCCCAGAGGGCTTACGAGCCTTATTACTATCAACATTTCTCCAGATCGGTTGACGCTTGCGTCGTATTCGGCGTACCAGGCGCATTGAATTTTGCCTCGACCCAAACAGGTGATTCCTATGTTCCTTGTCAACTCCTGTCCTGTATTCTATTGACTGTTTTCGTGTATCGTTGCCCCATAGCAGCAGTGCCTGTCACCCTGATACCACTTGCGTGTCTTTTCTCTCTAGCTTGTGCCTTCTTGCCATTATTCACTGGTATGGTGTGGGGCTTTGAATAGGTCACGGAGGTGCTATCTGCTTATCCATTGAAGTCGAATCACACATAATATCAGATTAATACAGATGCTTGTTTTCATGTTTCCCTCCTCCCAAGGCACGACCTGGGCATGCAGGTTATTCGGATTTGTCGATGTGTTCAGATGTCGGTATCTGATCTTCCT